TGTTAACACTTTACCCATCCCTCCTATCAGGATGATTATTATGTGACATCAGATCAGATGTACGTGCCGCTGCGTTGGATTGCTCCAGAGCTGGTGGATGAGGTGCATGGAAACCTACTTGTGGCTGACCAGACCCAACAGAGCAACATGTGGTAGGCTTAACACACACACACACACACACACACACACACAAATATGCATGCACTTCTGTTCTTAAAACAAAAGATCATAGCATACAGCACAGTTTCAAAATGTTTTAGACTATAAAATGAAAAATAATGTAATATATCTGTGCACAGGCTGGGGTATAAGATTCTTTGTTTGTCAAGAAAATATTGTTAAGGCAGAGTGACACAGGGCCTTTATTATAGTCCATTGCCTTTGGAAATACAACAAACTGTAAACTAGCTACTATTTCGTTACTTTGTGCATAAAAGGTCACGACCAAAAGGTTGACTTTGGTTCCCTGGGAAAGACACTCCGCAGAAAATGGACAACCCTAACCCTAAGTGTGCTTGTAAATGGCAAAGCATGAAAACATGAAAAAAAATATGAACTCTTAACTCTGTTAAGACTGTAATAGGTGAGGTCAGTGGTAAACAGCTAGAGCAAGTCAGAGGCCAAGAAGATAGAAAAAGGTTTAAGATAATAGAAAATCTGTGAATGACAACCTGAAGGAACCAAGATAAACCAAAACATTTTAGGGACCAGATTAAATATTTTAAATATGGGGGATAACACATGCTTGTTCTTGTTTTGTGTTTCATTAACACAATTTCCATGTTATCCTGTGTCTCAGGTCTCTGGGTGTGACTATCTGGGAGCTGTTTGAGCTGGGCAACCAGCCCTACAGACACTACTCTGACAGACAAGTACTGACCTATGCTGTGAGGGAGCAGCAGCTGCGACTGCCCAAGCCGCTGCTTAAAGTGCCCCTGGCTGAGCGCTGGTGAGATACACAGAAACACATTTAGAAACATCTTTAAAATATAAAACAGTCCTTCAGGAGGACAAACACAGCAAAACACAATACTCAGAGCAACATAATTAAATTGGTTGCAGGATGAGTGGATTTTCATTTCTTCTGCAGATTCTAATTATTATGCTAATCTGCCGAGTTTGGCTTTACTGTACTGGGGATGTTTTTTTCCAGTTGTCTCTTCTTTTTAGCCCTGTTATTAAAACTTAATTAATTAAACAATTTTTGGAATGGGGCAAATAACATGTATTGCACCAAAATTATTTGATGGAATTTTCCCTTTTATATCTTGTGTATATGACATGTATATGTTTTCTGTTTGGCCTTCTAAGGTATGAGGTGATGCAGTTCTGCTGGCTCCAGCCTGATCAGAGACCCAATGCAGAGGAAGTCCACTTGCTGCTCAGCTATCTGTGTGCCAAGGGGGCTAGTGAGGCCGAAGAGGACTTTGAGAGGCGATGGAACTCCCTGCGTCCCAATACTGGATTCAACAGTCACCGTGGTGCCTCTGCAATGTCACGAGACCACCCCTCATCAACCTCCTCATCTTTCCCTCTCCTTGAGCAATTTTCAGCTGGTGATGGCTACCACTCAGAGTCTGGGGATGATATATTAACAGTCACTGAGACCAGCCACGGCCTGAACTTTGAGTACAAATGGGAGCAAGCCAGGGCAGACCAGTTGTACAGAACCCCAGAATCGTCTAGTACCATGGGTCAGGTCAACCACCATTGTCAGGAAGCATTTTATCCACCTGGGGGCATTGTGGGGGGCTGCCCCATGGAGAGCCTCAGCCATGGAGTATCCCCGTCTTACTACCAACCAAAACATCTGCATGCTCCAGGCATACTTCCTGTCCTCAGTGCCCATAGCCCCTCAGTAAGCAGTGAATACTACATCCGCATTGAAGAGCCAGTAGACTGTAACATTGATCCGGAGTATACCATGTGCTCCTACAGCCCAGACTACCAGGGCAGCAGTGGAAGCTTTCTCACTGGCAGTGCCGACTCAGGCGAGTGCATGGCCTGCCCGTCACAGGTAAAGAACATGGGTCCCTATTGGTCAGCAGACATCCACAAGTCAGATTTGTATGATTCCAATGACTCAAGTCCTGCTATCTCCTTGACAATGGAGCCCCTTTTAGGACAAGTTTTGGACAGCAGCCCACTACGACCCTGGGAGTCTAGTCACTATGTGTCCTATAAAGACAGAGATGGGGGTTACTACTATGAGCACTCACCCCCTTTGGGAATAGATCACTATTTGATGGGAGGTGAGCTCACCAGTGAGCATCATCGGGAAAGCTGGGGGTCAAGGAGCCTGCGTCAGGCCCTGGGTGAGTTGGAGAACCCGCTAGGTATATCCCCCTCTGTAACCAGTCCACCTCAACAAGCCTACAGAGACACATACCTGGACACAACTCAGAGCTCCATCATTGGAAAGAATGTGACAGGGGGCTATTACGACATGATGGGCTCCCTGAGGAAGACTATGCCCAGCCACACCAGGCACAGCAGTCACAACAGTCACTCAGTCAGTATCAACATGGAGACAGAGGGGGCACTCTTCATCGGGCACAGAGACAGTGATTCAGAGGAGGAAGAAGAGGACATATTTGTTGAGAGACACAACTGCAACACTTGGCCTGCAAAACACCGCCACAGCAGTGTGGGTCACCACAGACGGGCAAGCCACAGCTGCAGACAGGATGCTTATGTAGATTTCCACTACACAATGCCAAGTACAGATATTGAAGATTCCTGGCCAGAGGAGCATAGCCTGGCATTCCATTCTCTACCCAAACCCATTGACTATCTTGAGCCCCACCAGGCCAAAGATAACAGTGCCTGCCTTAGTCTGAGCAAACATCATACAGTAGTGCCCTCAGACTGCAATGCCTACATCTACTTGTGCCATGAGGGTGAAACTCAGGTGCCGTCAGCTGGAGAGTGTTGCCACTCGCATTTTGTTGACCCGCTTACAGGCTTGCTAGTCAGAAACAACAGCTATAGTCACAGCTACAGTCACAGCAATTACATCAGTGATAAGGTCATTGACAACCCAAGCAATGAGGAGATGATCAATCTATCACCGGCTCCAGGGGGTCCCATTGTGGCCAAACCGGCAATTATAAAGACTGAGGACAGTAGAGAGCAGTATGTTGACCTTACATTTAATGATACACTATTCAAAGAGAAGAGGGAGGATGTAATCAAAGAAAATCCCATCATGCAAAAACCGATAGAGCCTAAAATAGAAGAGGTGACCCTGACAATGACTAAAACCACTCCGCCTCCTTCAGACAACATGCATGTTATGGTGGCCCTCACAGATCCACAGTCAGAGTTGAGTCACACTGGCGATAGCGGTGTTGACAGAGGAGGCTCCAGTGTGAGCCTTGCTGACATCCTTGACTGCAGTGACGATGACGAGGACGATGACATCACAGATGATATCACTGACGTTACCTCGGGCATCTTCGTCGATGAGTCGAGCGAGCTGAACGCTTCTCCTGCCTTCAAGTCGCTACAGAAGCAGGTAGGAACACCTGATTCCATGGATTCCATGGATCTGCCATCTGCAGCCGGGTCTTGTGAAGGCTTCAGCCCTGCGTCCTCCCACCCTTCCAGCTCACCTAAAGCTATGGACAGTGGCTATGACACAGAAAACAATGAGAGCCCTGAGTTTGTACCCAAAGAGCCTCATGAACCCCGTGAACAACCTCTGGGAAAGCCTACCGTTGATACAAGCCTAGAGGAGGACAAAGTGCTGGAGCAGCAGGGAGTTGAGGCCGAGGTTGAAGTTGTTCCCACAGAGGGTGAATCATCATCGGGTGAAGATTTAGCCTCAGGAGCCTCACAGACAGGTGACCACATCCTTTTACCACTGAGCGATAAGACTCCATACAGAGACTCTGCCTACTTCTCAGACTATGAGAATGAGAGGCAGTCTAGGGATGAAGGGGACGAACTGTCAGAGAGAGTAGGAGATGAACAAAATGTTGAAAAGGAACAACTCATGGGAGAAAAGAAGGGTGAGAAAAGGAAGAATGAAGAGGACGAAGAACTAAAGGACACTGTAGCCAACAAAGACATAAAACTTGAAATAAAACACATATTAACAGGAGGAACAGGCTCCTCTTCTCCACCAGAGATGGAAACATACTTGTCAGAAGATCATAGCCAGGAGGAGGTATTGGGGCTACCTCTGGAACACTCTGACAATGCTTCAATAGCAGAAAGTGGGCTGGATGAATGGCCATCTCAGGAAGAGAGCTCATCTCTTGGAGATTGGGCAGCAGAGGTGGTTGGGGCCATGGAAGAAGCTCTTGGTGCCCTAAATGGAGATTGCATCTCCAATGTCAAGGTAGAGGAGGAGGATGCAGAAGACATGAAAAACTCTGTTCAAGATTTAGAAGCAACAGAAGAGCCAGCGAGCAAGACAGTTCAAAACAGGCCATCAGGAATATCTGGTGAAACCTCTCACATTTTACCCAAAGATGAAGTGGCCTTGCAACACACGGCAAGTACCAGACGGTTTTCTTCTTCCTCTCCTCCACCTCCATCCACCCCTCCCCCTCCGCTCCCGGGAACAGAGGGCCGAGCATCTCCAGCTGACGGGGAAGAGGCGGATGAGGAAGACGGTGACACTGATGACAGTGACGAGTCGGATGAGGAGCTCCGGACCTATAGTGTACAGGAACAGAGCGGAGGGGAGGAGAGCGAAGACGAGTGCCACCCAGTGCCCATTGTGGTGAGTGACGACAGCGAAGCCCACAAACTGCGCAGCCTCCTTAAAATGCCCACCCTGCTGACAACAGAAAACCTTGAGGAGGAGCTTGAACGCAAGAAGAAGACGGTGTCTTTTTTTGACGATGTCACCGTCTATCTGTTCGATCAGGTGAGTGGGTGAGCGGGTATTTTTTTTAAATGGTTTCATTAATTTATTTAGTATTTAAACCCTGGTTGGTAACAATTTGTAACAGAAAATGGTTCAATGAACCCACTCTACACTGCCTGTTCAACAGCAAATGGCAGACAAAGTTACAAAGTAAAAACCAGAACACAGTTAAAGGTTTAATACAGTATACAGAATTAACTTGCCACTGGCTGTTACACAGACACCACCAGCATCTCAGACCAAAACAATAGGACAAACAGTAATAAAACTCACTAAACCCTTCTTTGCTAGTCTTTTTACATGTAGAAATATTTGTGAAAAGATGATGAGAAAAACATCACGTTGGTAGCTTACCGCTGGGTGTGTAAGAAGGACATTTACTAATATGTTAGCTAGCACAATCCTACATGCCCATGAAATGGTAGAGACTGTGTAGCTGTTAGTTTGTTTTAATGTTTTGCTGCCCCCTGATGGCAGCTTATACAGCTTAAACTGACTCATCTGCCCAGATCCGGTGCTCAGTGTATCTAACAAGTCTGTTTTCTATTTAACTTCACTGCCACTAGGAAAGCCCAACTAAGGAGTTGGCTGAGCAGGGTTTTCCTTTAGGATCAGAGGGGCAGACTTCACGGAGCAAATCCCAAGAAAGGCTTAATGCCTCAGACGACTCTTCAGATGGAAACATCTCAGAGGAGAGTAAGTACATGAATATTTTTTTTTACTTTAAATATAGTTTTGATGTAAATAAAACATCTTTATGATATAGGAGCAAGAAAACTTATTTAGTTATCAGCTATACATTTTCTAATATCTTTTTATTGTCTGTTCTAAGGTGCAGGGTATGAATGGGAGGACGACTTCCCCTTGCTCCCTCTACCCACGTCCTCAGTGGCATCTGAATCTCCTCCACCCCGCTCCAGCCCCAAAGCCCCAGACCCCAAACCAGCAGTACAGTACTCCCGCTTCACTGTCTCCCCCTCCAACGTGTCCCGCTTCTCCATCACTCACATCTCTGACTCTGATATGGACTCCGTTGGCGGTGGGTCTTTAAGTAACACCTTTCCTCATGGAACACATGACCTTTCGATTAGAGATGATATTTTACTGATTTGATTTTCACACACATAAAAATATTTAGTATTCTGGATTATTTGGTGCAGATCAAATTTCAGTTTTTTGTCAGAGCTTTAAAAAATGGTTTAGATCAGAATTCCAGAAACTTGTGACTGAATGGTCAATGCTGTTAAAACTGGGAAACATAGCAACAAGGTTAAGGTATCTTTTAATAGCAAACCTTAATCTAGATTAGCTAATTGTGACTGCAACACTTTTATTAGCCACTTCTTGTCTCTGGAGTCCTGGACTAATTAAATAAGATTATTTCTCTAGTACACTCGTCAAACAGATAGTGGGATGACCTCCTGAATTTTCTCTGGACAAAAAAAAAGTTTTAATCAATGTAATTATTGATGCTTGTTGCTCTTTCAAATACTCCAAATAATATTGTAACAGATATCTGAACTTAAATTTGATTTTACTGAGGTTTTATTTAAGCCTTGACTCTTGCTAACACTAATCTAAATGTAGACCAATTCCAAATCATGTATAGACATGTTTCAGCTAATATGGTATTAAAAGACTACTCTAATTTTGTAATAGACGTAATCCCGGTCTGGGAAACTGGCACGTTAAAGATACAATTATTGGCTACGACACATTGCCACAGACTGAATTACAGTAAAAACCTACCATCCTAATGAGATAATAAACTTTCTTGCCAAATTTCATAGAAATCTGCCAACATTTTGTAGGAGGAAGATGTCTAATTGCCTGTAAAGTGCACTTGTGTTCATTAATCCCCTCTGCCTTGTTCTGTCTTTTGCAGGAAGCAGCGAGGATGGGGACAAAGAGTAACGAGATGTGGATACTTACTGCCTCTCTGTGACAACGACTTGGCCTGCTAGCATGACTTCAGATTTATTTTTTAAAGTCAGGTTTTAGAAACACAAGACAGTGCCTCTTATCGCCTGTGGACACTTTTGAAAGGTCCGTCTTACCACAATGTAGGACTGACCTAAGCTGTTAAGCTGTTAGAATACTGAAAAGAGTATGGTTAATATATAAAATTTACAGAATATTAATATATACTATGTATGATGTAAAGAATATATGAAAGCAGGGGAAACTTGTATGTTGAATTCTGCATATTTTTCAGATCAAAGAGACAAAATGGAAGGACAGACCTTTGGAAAGCATCACATTTGACACCTCTTTCACTTCTTAATTTATAATTGGTAGCATTCATAAGAGTGTGGAACCACCTGGACTTGATAGAAATAGGATCTGTCTCAAACTGTCGCTGAGTAAAAGACACAAATTTCAACTTTTTGGCTTCTCAACAAAGGATCAGCACCTTGAACAAGACTGTACAGCTCCACAGACTTTGTACTTTTTAGAAAACTGCTTTACTTGTCTTAAAGAATATCAACGAGAATCCTTGAGGTATCGTAAGTAATATAATGTTAATGTTTGGGTTCATTCAGAGACAGACTGGTGTGAAAGAAGGAAGCAAAGGGAATTTTAATGGATCATGTTTGGTTATAGAATGTTTTTTTGTGGAAACAGTTGATCGAACATGGACAAACCTGATATTTTTTTTCTTTTTTTGTATCAGGACCACTACTGTACTGTTTTACATAAATATGTGGCTCATTCCCTCCACCAAATTGAGTGCCAGCACCACCATCACAACTGACCCTCTTTGTTGTAAACATCAGGCACAACATAGGCATGAAGGAAGTCATTTCAGTTTGAACTCTTATAAAAGGTTTAATAGGGTTTTTCAAATATAGCGATGCATGGTTTTAAGTAACTAGAAACAGTTATCTATAAGAATTTATTACTTAAGAAACAAAAAGGGACAGATATTTGTTTTCTGTTTTGGAGTAGTGACAGGCATGGTCATGGAAATCCATTTTCATGTTACAGGTCCAAAACAAATAGACAGCAAAAGGAGACATTCAGGATTTGGACTGCGGCAAAGACCCTAGATCTCTAATAATGACATGGTCCAATAGGGGTGGGCAATATAGATGAACTCCTCATCACAATTGCAATAATGGAATACATCTTGATAAAGTGCTTTTCCTGAACTTCATTTAAGACACAGTTAACAGATAAAAGTTAAATACCTAACAAATAAACGTCTTCATCACATTGATGCAAACATCCAGTAAATCCAATGTTGCCAAAAAGCAGTAATGCTCTTTGATTTGCTACAATATTCACAACAGCCAAGTAGAACCAGAGATATTAAAGGTATAGACACCTTGGTTTTATTGTCAGTGTGTATCATCATATTGCCCAACCCTACAGGACAATATATTAACAGTATTAAAAAGGCTGTTAAATTATATTTTTGTCTGCACAGAGGTTAGTCTGCATATGTAAATCAGCACATTATACATGCAGTATTTCTTAGCTTCTGCCCATTTCTACAGTTATCTGTTTGTAAGTGAAATGAGAACAGCTGCCTGACTTTACTGTTACTGTCACTTGCTGTATATTGGCTACACTGAGCTTGTTTGGAGCAGTTTTGTACGATGATTCAGTTATCAGAAGCTGAACTGTTGAACATTTTCAGATTCGCAAGAAAAAAAAAAGTTTGTTCTAACTCATTAGAATTTGGGTTATTTACATAAAAATCAGGAAAACAAATCTGAGAACAGAATGAGTTTTTCTAGCACTTAAAAGCTTGGGTGAAATATATATTAAAAAAAAACTTGTTGAGCCGTGTTGCTTTTACGTGGGACAGGTCAATTCAGTGTTAAGTCTTATTTGTCTGATCAGCTGGTAGAACGGCAGTAGAGGGCTGATGTCATGATCATGAAATGTTATAAGGCTTTGCTTTCTGTGAGTGTAAAATGTAAGGAAGTGAAATGGAAGGTGTGGTTGCGGAGCTGTCGGTTGGGCTTCTGTTTCAAAGCTGTCGGCTCTGGAGCCTCAAAGAAGCAGGATGCCACCTTTCGAAGCACCCTATGTAGTGTCTTCTAAGTGTTTGTTTGCCTTCCAGGGCTTTAATATTCTGTAACAGTTTAGCATAGAACCATCTAGACAGCTGTCCGTAATATTTTTGTATCTCGACTCGAAATACTTTTAAGAGTATTGATGTACTGTACCTGTGAAGGAGGGGAGGGTTGGAAAATATGTCTCTTATGTTTATTGTTGCCAAAGAGATGTTGTGTTGTGGTCCAGGGGCAACAGTTGGTGTTGTTTTTACCCCAAAATGGAGATAGAGGAGGGACATTACTGCAGCTTTAGCCTGGTTGGAAAAAACGTGCAGGTGAAGTTTTGGTTTGAGATACTGGTGGTAACATGTGCCCCCACATTGACCTGGTCACATCATTACTTTCTGTACCTTCTATCAAATATAAATAAAGTCTGTTTTACACATCTTAAGATATGGTTTGACTTTTTATTTAAGAAAGATTATTCTGTGTTCACATGAGGTGTGAACAGACTTCACTCTTGCTGTATTTGGTATAGTGTGTTCTCATAAATCATTTACACAAGGAATTACAAATGTAAACAGAATTTTTTTCCACATTGAATTTTCTTTTACTTTTTTTTTGTTTTTTTAATTCGGTCTAAGCTTAGGGTGGCTGGACAAGCCTGATAATGGCCTGACCTGACAGACATGTGATGCTGCAAAGGAAAAAACAGCTAGTTTTTTTCTGGTGTACATTATCATCTATATCTAAGAATACCCTCCCAAAGAAAAAAAAATTGCGTGTCGGAAATGTTTCACCTTTTCTCATCTAGTTTGACAACCTGTTCTGTGACGTTGATCCATAGGAGCAGAAAGCGCTTTGCACCTTGAACTGTAAACAGAGAAATAAAAGAGGAATGATGATGTGATGGCACCTCATGTCTTATCACCTATATAAATCTTTAAAGACAGCAACATATGATTGGTTGTGGTCAAAAATAAAGCCTGTCTTTTGGAAGTCACATTAAGAATGTATTACTCTGACACAGTGGCCATCTTGAAAGACAAAAATAAAATGTAGTCTGATACAGTATATAGTATATATATAAGACAAACAGCACGAAATGGGTAAATACTTGATTCTTTATTCTCAAAATTCAATTGAAAAACAGACATTTTTTGCAATCAAATCATATAAGGATACAGGTTTGACTGTCAGTCATATTTGTATTGTATAAGTCTTCATGAGTTACACCGATACAGGTTTTATCAGTTTGAATACCAAGTTTTGGATTTAAGCTGCTGATATTTAACGAACTACAACCATGCTCTCCTTGCACTGCAATATAGTATATGTTCTGTGGTATCGCTACAGTGGAGTGCTGATCTTTTACACAGCCATGCCTAGCTGTGATAATGTACGGTCGGAAGTTACCAGTCTTAAACCTTTCAGCCCATAGAGGTCAGCATGGTAACAAATTTCCTACATAGAAGAGAGTACAGTTGTTCTTTAACATATCATAATCTGAGTACTAACCATATAAGATAAGAAACTGATTATTATGAGGTGAATTCCCTTTCACATTTAGAACATTTTAAACTAAGGCACATTTCACTGAAACAATGTACTATCTTGTCTGCAAAGCAAGTTGTGAAACTTTGAAGAGAAAGCATTACACTGCAAACATGTTAAGTTCCAATACCTTTACACTAGTTTTCTTTCAGAAACCCTTAATAAAGGACAGAGGCCAGTGCTGTAGATACAGGTCAGAGGTCTGTACAGTCAATTTGTATTTCATATAATAGTAACAATAATGATATTATTAATATATTTATTTTTATACGTTTTAGTGAATGCCAATAATTTGACACCAATTCTCTTCCAGAGACAGTTAATAAAGATTTGATTTAGTCCAATTGACAATAATACTAAGTTACAGAGGTCAGTGCTGTATACAGGTCAGAGGTCTGTACTGTCAGTTTGAGTAATAATAATAATTTAATATTAATATTAATACTTAATAATTTAAGTTTTACGTTTTAGTGAAATAGCCAATAAAACTTATGAATGTGCCCCATTAATCACAGTGTTAAGAAACTCCAGGTTCAATTGTTCATTGTGAAGGGGAATCCAGATCTTTCTTTCTGGGATAGTTCTTTCCACTGAAGGTTACACTGATGAAATCAACAGTAAGTTTATTACATCATACATATCCTGTCCTCCATCAGATTAACAGGAGGCAAAATTAAAGAGTTGTTTTATTAAAATTCTAAAATACATAAGCTGGGTTTCCATCCGAAGTAGCCGGAACTTTTGAACCAGGAACTACTTTTCCGTTGTTGTCAGTGTTTCCAACGCAGTCTATAGACCAGCGAAAAATAGGCAAATTAGTCCACAAGGCAATAGCTGTTTTTACACGTAATTTTTACACATTTTTGCTTGCGACTATACAAGAATAAAAAAACATCAGAAGAGAGACAAGCAGTAGTAGCAAGCAGTAACGCTTGTCAAAGCACAATAACAAAAAAAAAAGCTGCTTTGCAACTGAAAATATATACTGAAATAATACTGTGAGTATTCAACCAATCACAAATACTCAGCACAGCAAACCCCACCCCACCCCTAAAGTTCTTGTATTTTGGAAAGTACTACCTCCCCAAGCAGACACTGTGACCCTGTAACTTCGGATAATCTACCAACTGTTTTAATAGAGACTATTTTTTCTGAGGACAGTAACTGTTGATTATAAATATACATTATGCATATACCAGGTCACTGCATTTGGAAAGACACAGTTCAGTGAGCACCACAAATTAAATTCATCACCATTGTGTAGAAATCTGAGATACATCTCAACACCTACACAAATAAAAGCCAAACCTTCTGTATGGAGAAACACCACTAAAGGTAAATGAAAGTTCCTTTTTTGCTATTTAAATCATTTTTTAGAAGGCAAATATCAGCTCAGTCTAACTAATAATAACCTGTATCGGTGTAATCCTGATTGCTTGTCTCTGCATCAAAGTCTCAGTTATCTTTACATGCCAGAAGACAAAATGCAATCACAAAGGTTTTCTCTTGTTGATTGTGTTACTGAATATTTCTGCTGAAAATGTTGCTTTAAGAAGATCTTACAAACTGCTTGTACACAATATTAATCAAACAACAAATCAATAAAATCTGAAAACCAGTACAGTAAATTATTACTGTAGGTACACCTGCAGTGCTGCTTATAACTAAATATTACAGAATATAAGATTTCCTGTGAGTATACAATTAGTTGAAGATACAGTACTATGAGTAGTGTGCTTATCAGTTTTGATGCCATCACTCAGAACAATTTTATTACACGGATACTGTTGATTTTTCTGACTAGTCTATTTTCTCTGATGTGTTTTTTTTTCTCTCCATCATCTGCTGAAAGACTGGACTTGCCGTACTTTAGATTATTCATCTTGATTCAGATAAGTAACAGACGTTTCCATCTCCTGGATGTGTGTAACAGTGTTCGACGCGGCACCAACGCACGTTGGTATGCTTGCCCTGTGAAAAGGCAGTATTAACGGGTGAGGCTAAAGGTGAAACACCTGACATGATGTATAGCTTACCAACGTTAAAGCCCTTTTGTTGACAGCTGTATTTTAAAAGCACAGAGATGTCATCAGGTGACTTCTCAGATCATGTGAGTCTACATGAGGAACCATTCATCAGTCTTTGGGTAGTGATATGATGCAAGAGGCAAAAATTCTGACTTTGAAAATGAATCAAGAATCCAAGAACATCTTTTCTTATTTCACACCACATGCTTCTATGTTTTGAAAGTTAAAATGGTGAAACAACTCCACTGTTGTCCATCACTATTACTCAAAAGTCTGAGCATGTGCCTTTACAGAGGTACAACTTAGTGGAAAATAATCAAGAGCAAAGCCTGATTTTTAAATCTTCTGGCTTTCGATGTGCTTTCCGTGCTCAAATATAAGATCAAATATGAATCAATATAGCTTTTATTTACATAACATTATCTCTCAACTAATACAGAGATTACTGTAAATGTGAATTGTTGTGGTGCAGTTCATTTGCTGGTCATATTTAATTCCTATTATATAGTAGCACTATTGTGGCTGAATCAGAGCTGTACAGCTGAGGGGAGAGGGGGCACCAGTGATCCACCTACAGCTGGCTTGAACTGAGGGGGAACTCAGTAGTCCCCTGGGGGAGTCGAAGCCTTCTCCAAGGAGTCATATTGAGCTTCATCAAGCTGCTCGTCCTCGATTTCTTCTTCCTCATCATCAGAAAGGGGCGGAATAGGCGGGGCCTCCACGGCCGGCTCATCGGGTGGATTATCGCTGGGAGGAAAGAAAGAGGAAAGAAAATACAGTGAAAAAACAAATTGTTTCTTCTTTATTTGATAAAATGTAATGCAAATCATGCATAACATTGGAAATAATGACAGAAAACGATGAAACAGTTTTTTTTCCAGCAACAGTGAAGTCTGATGAGTCATGCAAACAAAAAAAGGGAGGGAAAATTGAGCATGATGCAGAAACATGCAACATATTTCCTGAAATGTACAAGTAACACCCCGCAGTCAGTTGATGAGATCACATCACATAAAAAACAAAGCAAACAGTGATGGAAAGACCCCGAAAGCTGTTCCACGACACCCAAAGTAAACATGACAACAAAGCAATTTTTAGTGATAATGACAAAGTGAAAGAGGAAGTGGTTGCATGAAGAGCCCGAAGACCCGAGGGCAGTCACTTACGATGGGTTTTGGTCACTCAAAAGCGGGCGTAATCAGGCCCTGTACTGAAAGGCAGAGACAGTCCCTATGTGTCAACATTCACAATCTTCTCAAAGACCAGAAGTGACACATTACATTATATTCTATGTCACACAGGGCGATATATAATTACTATAAGTGTTCTTACATTGCTTAACAGTATACAGTATGTATATTTAATTACTATTGAGACAAGCTATCATCAATCTTAAAAAGCACTGTGTAGGACTGTACAGCGTAAACAAATGAGACCAAGGCTGACACAACTGGGAGCCTCCATTAAAACTTTCATTTCCTGTCTGTTGTCCATTTTCCCCCTTTACCCCTCTACAAAATCCAATTTGTGAACTCAAATACTGGACTCTAGTGCAATTTTGTGGTGCTGGTGCTAGTATTTCAAACTGTTATATCTGTATAACTGCCTTATATATGGTATCTCCAAAATGTTGACTTCCAAGGAACTATTTTTTATATTTTTTAGTTATTCTGTCTGATTTACTCAGGTTGAATTTGGGTGAGCAATGCCGGGAAATTCATGATATCACTGAACTATATATATACACACTAATAAAAATAACAGTGAAGGAGATGTCAATCACGTACAAATAAGTCTGTAGAAGTCTAAACGTCTGGATAAGAGGCCTAATCAGCCAAACACATCCGCTGTGTGTGGGTTGACCATTCACGTCAAAGGCTTTAAAATCTTGATGTATTTTAGGGATTTTTAAAAGCATTTAGAACGAGCAAATTTAGTGGTGACTCAAAGTCTAAAACTGGAGATGCAACTTTTTTTTTTATTTGACAGCAATATAATGCAGTCAAACATTAGATCTAACCAAAAAAATTCTATACAGCACAACACTTTTTTCAGCTTCCTTTACCACTGTCAGTGACACATACGGTACAAAATGCAGTGCTGAGGCCTGTAGAGGCTGTCAGTCAGACTCAGTGATGGTCGCACTTGTTTATGGTAATTCTACTGATGTATCTAAAACTACTGTGGTGTAAAGTTCTATACAAATGAATACCCAAACAGACGACAACTACAAACTCACAGTGGCTGCGTGTTAACATGTAATATATGTGATAAAATACATTTACCAAAGAACACAGGAAACAAAAAAAAGCACATAAACCACAACACAGTGAACTTAAAAATGACAGACACTATAAAATGAATGTGCTGTGATTAGGACACACATACACAAACACACACACAGTTGAGTTGAAAAAGGTACCTTTGCTAGCAGCAGGAGGAGGAGCAGGCCAGTGGGTGAATGGCATTGGCAGGTCAGGGCGGGTTGGATGCAGTGTAACTAATACTGTGCACTAAATACACACACACTGTACATGCAACAAGGCCGGTGGGAGGTTATGATGGGAACCGAGTCAGTTCCAGAAATGTCAACATGAGAAGTGACACCAAATGTGCAAGAAGGTTGGTTAAAAGCGAGATAGCTTGCTAACTATGAGAAAGGAGCTAAGATAATTCCTCGGTTAGGATGTGGTGAACTTTTTTGGAAAGGCTCTAACATCTGAAAGAAACTGTAATTAATCTGCTTTTTAATAACCTGCAGTAGATTACTCTAAAATACAAATATTTTTTATAAGCTAAAAAACTATCAGAAGAAAAACCCATTTGGCCTTCGAAGACTAATTCAGAGAAAAATTAAAAACCTATTTGAGAAAAAAAGAAAGAAAGATTCAAAGGCTGAATTCTTTCTAAATGGCTATTGGGATGTGAAGGCCTTCTGGATAAAAAAAAGAAATGAACAGAAACAATCAAAAATATCCAGCTGAATAAATTTATTTATTTTTTTAGAGTAGAAATTCACCATACATTTGAGGTCATCAATGTTACACTTTTTGGTGCCCCCAAAGCATGCATGTCCACAGATTCTCTGTACAATATTGAGATGTTTTTGTTTTTTTAAACAACAAAACCTCCTTAAAAATAAAAGCACATCACTTGATGTAGGAGTTGTTTGGCCACAGGTGGTTGGTGTGCTATCTCTGCAGCAATGGCAGTCATACCTTGGTCTTATTTTAGTGGAGAAAGAAGAAACACTGGCAGCTTCCAGTCGTTTGCACTCGACTTTTGTCTCTAAATTCATCAAAACAGAGATGGAAAAAAAGGGGGGGTTGGCAAAGCTGAGGGGGGAGACGAGTGTTAGGTAACAGACAGATGGAGAAGAGAGCAAAGAGACAGCAGACATGTGCAGCAAGGGAAACATTTCTACAATGCAAAAAAGTCCATCTTGACTCAAGTGTCCAATTAAGTCTTGAAATATTCATAAAAGAAGTGAAAACCATGACGCAGAAAAGTGGCACCTGCCCTCACTTTTTTCACTAAATTTGGAGAAAAAAAATATTTTAAGAATCTTTAAACACTCAACCACATTAAATATTTGGTAAAGACAGACATTTTTCTGCAGAGTGCGAGGCATGGGAGAGGTGCACTGTTTACATTTTCACCTCCTCTCTTTGGTAAAGACAGTACTTGGATGAGATTTTTGTAAAAAACCTCACAAGATTTAGAAGCCAACAATATGAGAAAGTTCAATTCCGAGTGGGCCAGTGGACATCAGATGTCGACATACATGTTGACAGTGATTAGTAAAGACAGGCACTAACTGGACTGACATACAGACAAGCAGACCAGCGTCTTTATTTAGCACAGAGAGAATGAGACAAACAGTTCTTTTATCTTCAAAACATGATGCTTTTTACTCACTGAGGTTTTTAAAATCACGCCTTTAATTGCAGAGACAGTACAAGAAGGCTGAATGAGGTTTCAACATCAAATGAACTCCTCTCCCCTTCGAGGCTACAGAGAGGCTGTGCCATAAATCTGTATCCTGGATAAATGTGGCACAGTGTAAACACCGCTTTGGAGCCAATGACCCTGTTTCGTTATCGCAGTACTGCTGATGCCTCATTTGAATCTCTGGATCCAGAAATTCATCAGCATATCCATTATTGCCAATAGTCTTAAATTGCCATAAAAATATATTATTCATGTTAGTCACTTAACTCACAGTAAAGAGGCACTATAATATGTCTGAACATAGAAAAAGATTGGAAATGGTTGCAAATGAGGAGCAATGTTGATGTGCACTGAGCCAAACAGCAGTACCAGTTGTCTTTTCTTTCATGCATGAACGATGGTTAACCTATCTAGGATTGCAACTATTAATTATTTTTTCAAAAATCGATTATTTAATCTGTAAAATGCAAAAAAAAAAGTCCAAATGCAAATGTGAAGTCTTCCAATTAGGGGTGGGCAATCAGATGAATTTAGATCGAGATCTAAGGCGTCCACAATTTACTTTTCAGGTAAATTATACAAATCTGTTTCCAACCTCCCCATGACGCCACTGACTAGCGGCAAGTAGTTGCGATTAAATATCACCCAACCCTATTTCCATCAGATTCTTTTGTCCAACCAAAAGTCCACCCTCCAAAACCCAAAGATATTCAGTCTACAATGTAATAAAATAAAAAAAGCAGCGAATTCTCACATCTTTGTAATTTGCTCTTGGTAAATAACTTCACAATTATGTGTCTAATACAGTTATTAGACTAATAATAATAAGTTTCAGCACTAAACCCAACTCAGAGCCTTTATTGTCATTCTGGGACGAGGGACAGTTGACCCCATTCAGCCTTGGCATGATATTCACACACCACAATAGATAGTCAAAGGACCCCGAGCACCTGGGTTTGTGTGTCTGAGCACAGTGTCCCTCCGTAAAGATGTTGGAGAACAAGTTCAAAGGCTGATACGGAAAACTTTTACAGTAAGTTGGTTTACAGAAATATAGACTATTACTTTCATAAGGTGCATTTTTTTAATGAACTGATCATAGATACTGTATGACAAGCACTTCTGTATGGCACATTTATGTACAGTAAACATTCCTGTCACAATGTCTCCATTCCATAAGTTAAAACATTTACATTATCTGTTCACTACTCGTGATACATGGCCTCTTATCTCAGAGGAATACAAAACCTCACAGCATGAAAAGGTAAAATTATTGGTAAATACTGAAATACCCAGTAAAAGTATTTATAGTATAATGTAGTTTTTTTTTTTACATTATGAAAATCCTCTTTGGGATCAACATCATTAATCTCACACCCTGATTTACATATCCTTTACATTGTCACTGTGATGGAGAGGACTGACATTTGTGAAAATCAGGTTCCTTTGGTGGGGAGATATTATCCCCAGTGATATATAAAAGAAATGTACATGCATGAAAGACAGGCAAAAGATACTTTTTCCTCAGAGAAAATGTCCATCACATTGATTTTGAATATTTGGATGGCACAAGAGTCCAGTTTGTTCTGGTTTGGCTTGGCATGGCTCTGCACCAAGACTTCACCAGTGGGACGGCGTGGCTACCGGCCAGTTAGACAGCACAGGTTAGGATTGGTGGGGAGGACGGGGGGAGATCAGAGAGGGGGAAAAGATACAGACCCAAGCCTCTTCCTTGCATTGATGGGCTCAGGGAGAGTTTATTGCCGTAAGCGGGAGGTAAGGAGGCAGGGAAGAGGGGGGGGGAGGGTTGGTTGAGGGGCAGCAAGGTGCCTGTCCTATCGCATCGTCTGGCTGAGTCTGTGCCTGTTTGTCTGTCTGTCCTCACACTGTCGAAATCAATTTGCCCTCTGTGGAACTGTGGACAAAGAGAGGGAGAGGCTTCCAGGTGGGCTGGCTCAGGAGAAACAGCAGCAAACACAACCAGGACACATGAAGAGGCAGAAACCACGTCTACCCTCTAACATGAGAAATAAACCCAACTGTCTAAAAGTTTGTCCTGATCTGAGCCTGAACTTCCCACAATATGATGGTTGGTTTTAATCAAATGAACTGTGAGTGGGAGGGTTTGAAGCAGGGTGAGCTCATTAGGGATTGGGTGGGTGCAGTTAGCAGGTGGAAGCACTACTGGAGCTGCATGGTGCATGGGGGGCATGAGGAGGAGCTGGGAGGTCAAAGCATGAGTGTTATGATATTAATAAACAAAAATAAATCAACTTAAGCTTAACACAGAAACCAAATTAACCAATACACATGCCTTAAAATGTGATCTATTTTTTTGTTTACTGCTTTTACAAAAGAAAACAATTATGTCTAATGGTCCTGTGTGGGTTGATGGACCTCTTAACATTCATAGCTGAACATCATAGCTGAACAAACACAAAACCAGTCTTCTACCAATAAGCAGTATAAAGATAGTATCACTTATGTTATCCTATAAAATAAGTGAAAACAGAATGTAAACATACGTAAAAGAGCACAAAGAAAACGACAAAACAAAATTGCAGCATGTCCTGCTGGTTGTGTGTTTGCGGGTCTGCCACAAAATATCCCAATCCCTCAACTCTCCCCGTCTTCAGCGCCCAGCAATAAAAAGGACCCAATCCCTCACTGGCTTCCCACCCACAAACCCCTCCAATTGCATTCGACCAGAGTGGAAGCACATAATCATCAATATTGATTAAATTCTACTCGAACTGACTGAACTTAAGCAGATTTTTTTGTATCAATACAAGATAAAATGTATTAACGGTACAAATGGTTCTTACCTTGTGGGGAAGCGGGGCTCGTATTCTTCAACTCCTTGCTGTAAAGACACAAAAAATAAGATGATGATGAGCGATTTACATAATAAATACTTTTGTAACTGATGCTAGAATCTGGAAGGTTAAAATGTCCATAACAGCCAGCAGATGGCAACAAAGACCTGTGGTAGATGAGATACTGCAGCATCTCAGCAATAACCCTACAAAGCAGCCTCAAGTCATTCCTCTAAATATACACTTCTCTCCAGGTCATTGTCAACTACATGTTGAAATATACTTACTGTGGATTCAAAAGCATTTTACTAACGTCTACCAAATTTAGCCCTTGGTTAACCAAATGTCCAGATGTCATCTGACCTACATCATCATTCAATCAGTGCTTACTGGGTTACTGAAGCATTTCCAACACTTTCAAGTGCACATAAGCCTGACAACAAAACCCAGCTCCCCTTAAATGTCAGCAGAGATGTTTCCATCCCTAAATGCGGCGAGGCGGAAAGAACAGTTTAAGTTGTTACATGACTGCTGAGCAATTAAGCATCGCCCCCATGTAATGTTCCAGGTGAGACGTGGGTGGGAAGCTGGGCTGATAGAGAAGGATTCAGCGTTGCATAAGTCTACTTCTGACTTTCTGTTTGAAAAATGAACCCCCCTCCCTCGTGTCACCACTGCTGCCTCCTCTTTCTTTCAGTCAGCTGGGCAACGCTCCCTCTGTTATCAGCCGACGCCTGTCAGATGAACTTCCCTCAGAGACAGAGGCAGCCAGGCGCAGAAGGAGACTTCTCCAATCTCAGCTGTGCCACATCTTAAACTCGACCTTCCGCAAACAGGGACGTGTGAACCGAAGGAGAGCTGATTCCTGCGTTTATATAAGCTAATGTAGCAGAGCGTTCTCTGCGAGCTTTGGCACAAGAGAACTCTGAGTGCTGGTAAAGGAAGAGACAGCCTGTCAAAGCAAAGCTATTCCTGTACTGTATCTCAGGTCAGCAGCACGTGGGGAAAAGCTACCTCCAAACTTTCTGAGACATACAAGCGCAGATCTATGCCAGTTTTCGTGCGACGGCTCAGCTCATGTGTCATGTGTGAACTCATGTGTGGGTAGATGCCAGTGTGTGTTTGTGTGCTTGTTTTGCAGGCACCCCACCTGTGAGAAGCCTGGCACTGCTACGCTGTAGGGGCGTTGCTGTCTGCCATGCAGCGCAGCAGCGCTCTGTGCCGCCATACGGGACTGCATGCCGTAATCAGGGACAGAGAGAGCCATGTCTTCTCTCTCTAGAAGGTTGCCTGTGCTGCTGCTCTTCCCATGGAGGCTGGAAACACAGGTGTACAGGGAATGAGGAAATGGTAAACATGTTTGTGGGGAAGATCTGCAGGGGAGCCATCAGCAGGCTGTTGCTTTTACTTTCATGATGGCTTATTTAATTCTCAGTTTTCACTGGAAGGTTTTACAATGCACAAGCAATCGAGCCAATCAATGTCATTATCAATATAAATTAAAAAGGAACTAGTAAATAATAGTTTTGTCAGAATCAGAGGTCAATATTCAAAACAATGACAACAAAAATCTGAAATATGGCTGCAAAACATATATAAATAGTATTGACTTATTTTTCGTACTAAAGTAGAATCCTAAAACATACTTGTGTACTCGAAGTTGCCTCATGGAGTTGCCATCACCGTCAGAGATCACCCGGGTGTAGGAGAAGGGAAACCAGCCACGCCTGCAAGAGATGAGGGGGCACCAGATATTAACAACAAACAACAAATTAATCGGGTTTTTGGGTTCATTGAAAACCTGTAAGTACCAAATATGGTGGAGATTTTAATCATAAAAGACACTTACACTTAACTGTTTTGTGAAAAACAATCCTATACACAGTATCCATAATCACTGGTTCCTCTGCCAGTGGCCTTACTTTCCACCATATGTAACTAAAATCTGTTGAGTAGTTCTGATCTGTGTTGAGTTATCACACAAGCAGACAAAGAATCGTCAGAATCATCTCTGAACACATAAGTCGCACTCACATCCTTGTCTTCTCGTTCTCTCCGTAGTGCCAACCATCACGGGCCTCTGGGACCAGCAGGGTTATCACATCGCTCTCAGAGAAGCTGAGCAGGGTGCTGTTGTCGCCGGCTGCGTGGGAAAAGATGGCCTGGACTCGAGTTCTACCATTTTTCTCCAGCCCCGCTGCCATAGAGCTGGACCGGGGCAGTGTACGGGTCTCCGCTGGTAGAGATAACGGGAGGAGGAACAGCTTTCAGTCTCCCTTTCTCTAATAAATACTGTTTACTGGTGTAAAACACTGTGTAGCTACTATACCTCCAAATACTTAAGTTTCTACAACATGTATCGCTCTACTAAACATTCAACAGTCATTTACTAGTTGTACAATTTTAAATGAGACATTTTTTTGTGAAACCTCTTTCTGTCCTACATCTATTTTTACTCATAGTCTCTCTTTGTAATTTTTAATATCACATCTCTTTCTATTCCCACTTGCGTTGGCCTGTTTCTTATTAAATCTGCACAGGTTGTGTGTGACATCCAGGCAGATGCCTTCCATTAGCTCTTTTGGTGGGTTTTGTCTTTGCAAGAATACTTTTCAAGAATACGACCATAACAACCTGACAAACCCAGAGCCCTTACTACTGGCTCATAAAGTTTTACGGCGGGCAAATGATTGTCTTTTTATGCATATAGCAGACACAAAACAATATAAGAATTTATTTGGAAGCACATTTTTGTCCGATTGATGAAGATAAGTCAAGTATTTACTCTTCTTTTAGATCATGTTACCAAAATATCTGTCTTTTTAGCTGTCTGAGCCATACAGTAAATGGTCGTAGAAGACCAAAACAATTGGATAAAAGAAGCTAAAAAGATCTGTGGTGCAGCAGTGCTGGTGATACATCTACCACATTCATATTACACACAGTCATTCAGTGTTAACATAATAATACAATTAGGACTATAACATTTCTGTGTCCAGTTAATAGATTCTTTCATCAACATCGTTTGCCTAATTAGGTGCTTTTATTAAATGTTCCCCGAACTTTCATCTTTCCAAATCCCTTGAAAGAGTGAATAAATGTAGAGCACAGTTAAGAGCTCAGAGCTCACTATGTGTCCTTACTCAGTGTGGTCTTGCTCTTGGCTGGGGCGACCTTGCGCACAGGCAGGGTGTTGGAGTAGACCTCCCCTCCGTGACGCTGGGTCTGCGGTGAGGCCTTGCCCTGGGCCACCTTGCCCTCCATCCACTGCTGGTAGTCCTCTCCTCCGTGAGCACCGGCTGTGCCGTTCATCACCGGCATCCCTCCTTCCACACCTCCCATCAGCCTCTGCGGAGATGATGAAATTTGCATACAGGCAATTAAAACGCGAACTCTCTCTTTACGTCACCCAGAGCTGTTATATAACATCCAGTAACTCATTAATAATAATGAACACGGGTGCAGAGAGGATCTGGGTCAGCAAATGCTGATTAATGAAAAGACTGCATTTGAGTATATGTTGGTTTAAAGATAAACATATGGAATAACTACTGGGACACAGCAAAGAGTTTCAAAGTGTATTTAATCTGGGAACATAAAACACCACAGAATGTGCACCACGGTTTTTAATTAGAAGCTCGGGCCAAACTGACGCAGTCTTTCTTTTAAATTTTGATGGTTTTTTTTGTTTTCATTACCCAGGCCTACAGGAGGAGGAGGAGGAGGAGGAGGGGGGCAGGGTGTGAAAGAGCCTGAGGACGTGAGGAATTTAAGCCTCTTCTGTGCAACAAGCTAATTAGCATGGTTCGCTAACAATACCATTTGCATTCACCAGAGTTTTCTGAGGATGTGTTAAGGGCTCCCATGATGCAGCAGCCACATCCCGGGGCAACACCCCTCGACACACTCCAGGTCCTTATTAAGGGTCTCATTAGACAGCACTTACCTGTGTTTGTGTGTGTCTGTGCATTTGTGCTTCTATCTCTGTGAGGACCAATTTGAGTTTTACACCGTGAGAGTGAAGACATTTTTAGAAAGGAGGACATGTTGGCATCACTTGGTCCAGGGCTGTTTGGGAATTAACACTTTAGGTTTAGGGGTTTAGTTTAGAAGCAGGTTCAGGCTAGGGTTTGGGCTAGGGAACACATAATGTCTTTGAGGGGTCCTCACAAGGATAAAAGTTCAAATATGTGTAAAGCATTCCATAAAAAGATTGACATTTTACCGCAACATAAAGATCCACAAACCCAACACAAACCAAGTGACACAATTCACTAAAATGGATTCAAATATTGCAAAGAGCACAGGTCTCAGGTGGACTTTTAGAACAGACAACATTTGAGGGCAGTAGAGGTACAGACCTGCTGTCCCATGACCCCACTGGCCCTCAGGGCTGCCAGTTCTGGAGGCACCGGCAGGGGTTTAGCACCAGGGATGGGCTCAGAGATGGGCATGCCTGGATGATGAGCACCGGGAGCCATGACGCCTGCTGCACCGCTCATCTGCTGGGCGAGGAACATGGCACGATCTGGCAGTTTGTTGGGCTCGGCACATGCCTGCTGCCACACTGGGATCTTCTGGGATAAGAGCTCCTTCCCCTGGAAGAAAGAAGGAAGAGAGAGGTTGAGGCTGACAAGTTAGGCTCAGGTTAAACCCTTTGTCAGAGTCAGAGTAGCACGGTTCGAGTCTATCCTGGGAATCTTTTTTTTCCAGGGCTAATAAATTACGAGGTATCGGAACAGTGCAGAGACACTCATACTGATAGTATTGAAGGAATTTACGATACTGGTAGTGGCGTTGCTAATAGACTGCATCTCACAATACTAACAAATCCGTTAGTTTGGCACCAAATTAATCACTTGTTTCTTTCTTTTGTAAATGTTGGTTGGAATTTCCCTATAGACATCAACATGGCATCACATTATTCACATAAGCATAAGTGTTCATTAGCTGACGGGAGAAAAAGATCGAACAAACACACAGTAGATTGGGGCCACAAGAGATATGAATCCTCTTTATGAATGCACTCATTTGAGAAGCTCTCAGCTGGTGTTTGAAGGGCTCAGTTACATCTCTTCCATACATTATATAGTAGGGCAGTTACATAAAGATACTTCTGATTTGCATTCTTCGTCAGTGAATAAATGAGGGAGTCCTGAATCCATGAATATTGGAAAGGTAATGGAGGAGAATCTGCTGCTCAAACAGTTTTAACTCCACCAGGCCTGTGTGGAGGATAAACACAGTTTGCTTCCAAGGTTGTCTGGCCCTGGTGAGTGTATGTGGGTGTTGGGGTGTGGGTGGGATGATCAAATAAATTAACACATTATACAAATATAAAAAGTACAGCATAAACAAATTCATACTAACAGGATGAGCGTCATGTTACTGGGAATTCATGCTCAGACTGAAATAGCTGCTCGATTTCTCTGTGACAGTAAAAGTTTTACTTCTTGTGGTCATTTACCTTTACAAGAGGCTAGATTAATGGGATTGGGATGAATGGGATATCATCTATGCATTTCTATGTGTATGCAGCAAAGTCTTTCTTGCTGCTGGTAGAAATGATGAGTCACTACGACCTCAGTTAGCCTTTTCAAATAGCTATGGTAGAGCGTAGGTGGATCAGTGCTTTTACCAGTGTGCTGATAAAATCGACTAGCAGACGGTGGCTCTTTTTTCTTCAATCTTGCCTTCCAGCTCACCTACCCCAGCACAGGAGGACCACTCTCTTCCAGAAACTGAGTTTGTGGGAGATTTGCCAATTTGTAAATGTAGCCAGTGAGTAAAGAGTAACCTTGTTAGAGAGCTTTACTTGCAAGATCACAAAATCATGAGAACCACAGAGTTTTGGACCAATCAGTATCCTATAAAGGAACTACTGGCAGCTATGTGTGTGAGAATTTGCTCAAATTTGCGGCTGCTAAAGAGGTTAGGGTAGATAGCATCAATTATCAGTAATGAAGAGTTTTTATTCATTAAAAGAAGTTTTTTTATTTTCTAATATCTAAAATAATGCTCGTGGATTATGCAGAACATAATTATATTATATAATGTTCATAAAATAATGCTCAATACATTCGCAATCCTTAAAGCTACTTCAAATTGATCATTTTCTCAATGATCTGATTGATGGATTTTTCTATAAAATGTCATCAAATACAAAAAAAACCCAACTCCTATATTATAATTTCCCTCAGCCCAAGTGCTTGTTTTATTTAACCAACCATGCAACCTTGAAGACAATCAAGTTATCATATTTGACAAGGAAAAGCATAACATTTTCATAATGAAGAAGCTGGAGAATAGAAGGTTTGGCACTTTTGCTTGAAAAAACTGAAAACGATGAATGATGATGAAACAAGTACATTTCTTGTCGTTGGACTAATACGTTTATTTGCTAATATATTCAAGATTCAAATGCACTTTGCAACTTGGTTTGAGGCTAAATAATTCTTTTTCTGCCGTTTATGCATCATCACATCAGCAGTTTGTGTTCTGCGCTTCCTCCCTCTGTCTATCAATCACTCATTCAGACACTTTCACACCCACACACAGTGAGTCTGAACCAAGTGTTCTTGCAGAAGTAGGTCATTCTCTCTCCTGCTGCCTCCCTACTTCACCCTCCTCCTCACCCACTCACCCTCCACTTCTCCATCTCTCTCACTTCACTTTACCACTTCATATTTCCCCGGTGTGAAGGGATGAGATGTGGGTGGGTGGATGAGATGTGGGTGGGAGGTACATGCTTTCCTTAATAATTTCTTGAATGATATTAAACTCCTGACTCCTGATAAGTGATCTCCTGGCTGCAAAGTCACAATAGCAGAAAACTTTTTCCTGAATAAATAAATGCAGAACATAATGGAGTTTAGGAAAGAAAGATGGGAACATACTGCGTGTGTAGCAGTTTTGAATGTGTGAGATGTGTTTGATGTACATTTGTATATTTTCTGATTTCACTGCTAATGTCTTTTAGCCAGTTTACAATACATATTACTATTTACAATTAGCTTGCATGTTTTGCTTGTCTTATCTATTTATCATCATCAAGGCTAAAAGCTACCTTGATGACTCGGTTTAAACCTACAGAGTGAAATATATAAATGGGATGCTGTTGAAACAATGGTTATATAGACCATCTAAAAAAACATGCCATCTTAGTGGAGACATATTTTGATGTGGAAATTAGCACTGTGTACTGCCGTCTTGCCATGAAATCACCAAGTAGGGGAATGTGACTGGCTGGAGCCGTTCCTTCTCACCTTGTTGTGGTAGACACTGCTGTTCTTGGCTACAGCACACTGACGGTCCACCAGGAAGCAGTACCTCCTCCTCTCCTCGGACAGAGCGTTCTTGTAGCCCTCGGCGATGTAGTTGTCCAGCTCGCCCTGTTTATTGCTGATGGCCTCTACATACTGGAGAGAGGAATGAGAAAAGGATGGCTCAAAAAAAACATCATGGAGGCATGTCCTTGTTAGGACATTAGCTCACTTTTCTGATTGGGTTAAAGGTTTAAGAGTAGGTTGCGACAAACTGGAGTTTAAGGGCAACTTCTACCCTGAGCATTAAGGAGCCAAAATGATGTCAAAGGGATCTAATTTGAATTAAGGAGAATGGAATTTGTTTGTGGTTCTCAAAGCATTAAAAATGACTGTACTTAACTAATTCAGACATTGTACGTCACAACCATGGCATATAAAAAGCAGATAAAGTGTGCTTTCATGTACCGCTTTGAAAATGAAATTGCTGTGCATTTAGAAAATGTCACAGCACATTAGACATGAAAACCATGAATAAGGAACAAAAGAAGTCAAGCTCCACAGACTGTCTAATCATACACGTGTCCGTTATGTGATAATGGCGACTGCTGTTCTCTATTTCCTGTAGATTAGCTGAACTAGAGCACCCGGCTTTCAAACACAAACTCGCTCACCCTTTGGCTGTTTGTGGCTTTTAAACCCATTCACCCTCTACTCCTTCAGCCCACTGAGTCCTACTAGTGCTTGTTTTAGAGTTACAGGACATCTCCTCTATGCCAAACAATTCTCAGGTAATTCTCATGTAACTGAAAGCATTTGAAGATTCCCATGGTGTCGAATAATGTGAAACTGCATTCTCCAAGTGCCAGACAGCGTGGAGCTCCAGTATGAGGTGTTAATGTCAGTTGCTCGGTTGTTTGCTGAGAAAGTAAGCAGCCTACGCACTGTCATACGTGATGAGAGACACCATTTAACTATGTACAGTACATTTCATGAACACATATTGTACAAAGAGAACCTGTATTACAAGTACAGGAAGATACTTATATATATTCATACTGTGGTGGATGGACAAAGAGTTTCAGAGAAGCAACTTGGTGACAGGACATCCTCCGTACAGTAAGTGTGTTAATTCAAATGTGAACATGGTGCTGTACAGGCTTAGAGATTTAATTAAAAGATCATCTATGAATATAGATGTGGGGACACGAAAATATCACAGTTTCAAAGAGCGTATAATCTTGATCTTATGTAACATAATGCATAGAGAATAGCATTAACCGAGCCAGGGTGAGATGTTCAGTTCTCTGAGGAGACCCTGATAATATTATTCACTCGGTGCAGAGCCGGCTTCACTTCCTCTTTTAGGAGTTAATAATACACTATAATAATAAAATAGAGATTTATAGTGAGCTTTTTCATCCAGATAAAAAGAGGGTTTAATCACATGTTAATTTGTTAACCAAATCCTAACTACTGTATTTGATCTGTTTACACACAGTGTTGCTCTTTAAATATTTGCAAGCCAAACTAAACTCAGTTTCCTCATGTTATACTGACATTAATATTTCCTGGGAAATTCATAGTAAATCAGCAAGAAAGTTTGGGTTTTTGGGGGGCAATTTTTAGTGTCTGTAAAGGAAAGAGTTATTTAGTATTTGTTAAGATACTATTATTGTTTGTATTTATGAAGCACAACAGCTCTTTTATAAAATCCAAGTACAATAAGATGAAAAGAGGTTTCACTTTAGTTTAAGGACGCCTAAAGAAAAATTTTCTGGTTCTGTGTAAATTCTGTCTGGAGAAAAGACATTGCATACACTTTCTAACTACTTCACCTCCCCCTCAGTCTGTATCACACGCTCACTGTCCACAGCCACTTAAGGCAGAGTGAGATGTTCAGTGGTTTTCAGGGGAACGATATCCTTCCACTGATCGTCTGTTATTTGCGTCTCTGTAATGACCCTAATAGCCGGGGATTGACAGGGAAGATGAGACAGTGGCTGCAGACACCCAGCAATTAATCTCATTGTTTCCACTGTCTATACAGACTGATTACAGAGAGTGAAAAAATGAAAGGTGAGAAAAAATGAAAGGGGAAAAAAATATAGAGCCTCTTCAGTATTAAATACAAGGTGAAGCAGAGTCATGAAAAGTTCTGATTTCCATGTGACATAGTTGATAGTTCACTCAGGAATAATAAAATATGAAAATCTAAATTAGACAAATGAATAAGTGAATGACACCTGAATTATTTTATGTTATGACAAACCTTTCTTTCTGATGCTTCAATTACTGAAAGCTGTGCTAATTTACTCCTGTGTTGTATCAGTGAGGAGAGGTCTTTCACAGTTTAGTAAAGCATGAAACAATATGGGATTTCTGAGATTGATTCCGATACCAAGTTAAAGGGACAAACAATATAGTGGCCCATATAGTGAATTATTGAGGTATGGGGAATTTGGAATGAAAATAGGGCTTCTATGTGGATTGTGCACAAATTTTGCACCAAAATAACTTTGCAAAGGTACTGAGAGGGCTGATTTAATCAACAAATCATGTTAATAATAAAGTTAAATATTCTTTAACATGTTAAATAACATTGTCCAATTCCAGTTGACATTAAGCTGCTGCTTCTCTCTTACTCTATACTGCTTGCACAGAATTGTAAAATAACATATATGACGATACCAATATTTCTGTGACAGGCCAATATCATCCGATAATATTGGCTAACCAATATAGACATCAATAATCAAATCAAAGTCTTTATATGTTTTCACAAGAATGTATTCACATTTTCAGACGGAACTTTTGCTTATAAGAGGTACAAACAGTTGAATATATAAAAATTATATGACAATGTATTTAAAGAGGAAAATATGTACGAAAATAACATATAATGGTAGTTGTTTCCTTGGATGATCTTTAATTGGAGGACTATAGTTAATTCATGTTTTATTGTATCACTGTAATTAATCAGTGGAGTATTCGTACATGTTTCTGGGGAAAGTTTTAGTTTTCCGTTTTGATCCATGATTTGGGGCATAATATTCATATTATTTCCTTGTGTTCTCCTCCGTAGTGTATTGTTTCTTTCACAACAAGTAGGTTTCACTGGTGGGAAACACTGTTGATATACTGATGTGCCACATGGAGAAGCCACAGTGTCACCTCAAATGTTCTGTTGTCTCTCATGCTCGAGTGTTTGACCCTTACAGGTTTCAGGTAGGAGCATCAAATTATAATGCAACCGGAAGAACCAAAATCATCTACATGAATATGATCATTTGTCAGGAAAAGAACAATTTCTAAGAGCTGAACAAGGTCCTTCGTGTGGGCGCACAATGGCTGAACATGCACTGATCACCCACAGTGAGCATCAAATGGTGACAAGCCAAAGTGGCAGTATAGCAGAGGAAGATGAAGGCCACTTATGAATCATACAAACGGCGGAGGCGGAGAGGTTTTCAGGTAGCCTACAAAAAACACACAGCAAGCGACCATGTTGATTAGACTTAGACCCACAGGCAGAGGTCAGGGCGGCTGCAAGGGGGCTGTCAATCAGCAGAGAGTGACTGACAGGCTGAGAGATGAGGGTGGTAAAAAACTGCCAGAGGATTCAGATTGTGTGGAGTTTTACAGATTCTCAGAGTAACAGCAAATCACAAAAAGAGTCATAAGGAGGAAGTTAATAGGTGGTTTACCCTGGAGTTCATGTGTGTGCTTTGTTTACTTGATTACTAAATTCCTCATGACTTTACGACCTTTCCGGAATGCCCTGTGAGCTCTGACAAGCAAACAAAACACCTGACAAGGAAACACACACATATAGGGAAACAACTAGAAAGCAGAAGCTGTAAAACCTGTTTCATTCAACCTGAGCGTAAAGTCTGAAATCACGTAGATAAAGTGTTTTACTGTTTACAAAGAGGAAAGTAAAGGCAGAATATAAGGTTACACACCCAGACAAAAAAATAGTTGCTCTCTTTGAAAAATGTGTTATTTTTAAAATAGTTTAATACTGTGAATTATAGTGTAATATTTCCTCTTATAGTATTATACACCATAAACTTTCTCTTTACTTGGCACCATTTTGCCCTATTGAGATTGTGCAACAGAGGTTAGAAGGAAGCGACATGCCTCACTCCTTAGCTACTTCCATCATAAGCTTCAGAAAAAGCTATAATTTTTTGTTACCACGTGTCCGAGTGGGCAAGTAAGTTGTTAGATTTACTAGCTTAATTTGGCATTTTACTTGACCCAAGCAAGTGGGAAATTCTTATTGTTGTACTTAATTATGGAGTTATTACGTAATCCTGATGCCCTGTCTCAGAGGGATCTTTTCTAGATTTTTTTTGTGATTGTTCAAATTTCCACCTACTATGTGTAATCTTCTATGTGCCCTGTACTTGATACCTAAAGGTGGTAGTTCACAGACAGGTACAGACAGTGAGAAGAATGGGAGTCAAAAACTCAAGAAACAGGTTAATCCGGCAAAGTCTATCATACAGTATATATCTTATTACCTGTCATAAATCCGGCCATGAATCCTGTTTAATTTGGTTGCTTAGTTCTGATATTTTAAAAGCAAGAAAATCTGAACGTTCTGTATATAGCACGAGATGTTTGAGTGCTATAAGCATCAGCACGGCACAGTTTTATAACAAACCCGGGAGAATGCCACTACTTTGATATACATTAAAGTACATTTATACACCACAGCCGAGTTCCATTATTTAAGTAGTTTTAATACATCAGGGCTGCTTCATGCGGTGTACGCATGTTGTGATCGCTCTCAGATACGGAGGTCTAATTAGATTCCAACTGGCCTTTCATGCCACTGCCAATCAGCCGCTCCTCGCCTGAAGCTCCCTCTTTACACAAAATATAAATCTGGCCAAAAGCTGCTCCTGGTTTCTGCTGACAGCGAGCACAATCAGCATATAAGACGTGTCCTGTGCATCTGCGAGTGCGAGTGCGTGTTCGTGTGTCCAGTATTTATTGACTTATTTTACACTAAAGATGGTCTGAATCATTGGTGCAAAAACACTGGCTGCAGGGCCTCTGCTGAGTACGAAACATCTCTAACCAGGACTGTAACTAACTGATTGTAGTATGACGTAAAAAGTTTTCTTTAAATTAAACAGCCTCAA